CAAAAGTAGTGAAGAGAAAAGACTGAGCGCTTTCGAATTCTTTTTCAAAGTCTTGAATTGAAGAGAACGAAGTGAAGCTAACTGGAAACGGTGAAGAAATGATCAAATATCATGCCTTTATTTAAGAAAATATCTATAGGAAAAAGATGTTAATCTGTGCGGACGGGCATATGAAAAGTGAAATATAGGTATGAATCTTGTTAGAGAAGAAGACTATCTAAATATCCTTTTCTACTGAGGAAAAAATTGTTTCGATTAATTTCTGAATCGTATTAGAGAAGAAGACTATATATCCTTTTCTAATGAAGAAGAAAACAAATTTTTCGACTAATTTCTGATGAAGATAAATTTGCACGCCCATTTTTACGAAATGGATATGAAAGAAAAGAAGATCTCAGTTCCAAAAAACTATTGGTTGATTTTATGATTGGTTAAAAATATAAAGTAAGGCAGGCAGTTACTGCCTGCCTTACTTTTTCTTGTACATATTTTTCAGGCAGTTACTGGTACCTATCACTGCATTATGGTACCTATAGTCATCTCTCATTCTTATTAAGAATAAATTATATTTTAACCAATCATAAAATCAACCAATAGTTTTTTGGAACTGACGAGGGAACTGCCCCCAAGTGTCCGCTCATTTTTTTCTTGAAACCTAGTGGAGAATAGGTTATCGACTATGCTGATTCCGAATATGACAATGGTTTTTGCTCCTAGGCCTTCGGATACCTGGTTTTCTAGAAAACGAGTTTTTCAGAAACCCCAAAAAATAACCCGAACCTTTCTTAATGAGGCATGATTGTAGCCCGCACATTTCTGATTAAAATGAGACCTCTCCCAACTCCACATGACCTTTCTTTGCAAAGTTATAGAATTTACACGGAGAGCCCTAAATTAATTCCTTCTTATTTCTGTAGCTTTTAGCTGACAATGAACATTTAGGGCTTTTCTTGTAAGTTCTATAACTTTACAAAGAAAGTCATATAGAGCTGAGAGGTGTCTCATTTCAGTCAGAAATGTGCGGGCTACAATCATAAGAAAGATTCGGATTATATTTTAGAGTTTCTGAAAAACTGGTTTTCTAGAAAACCAGGTCTTCGAAGGCCTAGCAGCAAAAACCATTGTCATATTCGGAATCAGCATAGTCGATAACCTATTCTCCACTAGATTTCAACAAAAAAGCGAGCGGACACTTGGGGCAGTTCCCTCGTGAGAAATATTTCTAGGTAGTGAACTATGGCTTATACAATGGAACATGTGCTCTAGGTTTCATTTTCTAGATCTATTTTCAATTAAAGATCTAAACTGTGCAATATGACACCCGAACAAGATCCATATGCATTAATAAAATATATTAATGTAATTAATGTGAACAATGATGGTTCTGGAGATCCAACAATACATGCATTTGTTGAAATGGGTTTGTTAACCATTCATGAACGACTCATTTGCACAATAAATAATACATCATATGAATGTTATATACATAAAAACGAAAATGATGAATATGTTTTATGTTATCAAAACAACATTCAAGATGGAAATGTTATGAAATTTATTATCAAATTATCCAAATTAATTAAAATAAAAATACGATATATGGGAGTTTCATTTGGACGTATACGTCGTGTTAGTGACAATCGAACATTATTGATGTTATTGTATGATTTAAAAGAAACCTTTGAAAAACGCATAACAACGATGCTGATAAGCAGTGAATTTGGCATATGGGAAATTCATACATCATATGATTTCAACAACAAAAAAGTGAAGTTTATTTGTAGATCAAATATGAAATACGATGATATATTACAAATCATCAATAATGCCAATGATATGAATCATGATGATATTGATGATGATATATACAAAGAAAAACAGCAACTGTATAGTTTGATCAAACATCATGCTATTCAAATTATTTATTAACCAAAAAGGGATGAAGATATTATCAAATTCGATAGTGGTAGCTCGAGCCAGTCACGAAACCCAGTAAATGTTCTGGTTTCCTCATTACATTCATTATTGAATAGACATAAACCAAACAAAGTAACAATATTTAAATATGGTGCAGCTACGAATTTAACGATGGGTTTTATTAAAGAAATTGATACGACAGCGATCTTAGATAATACTCATTATTCTAATTTAATTGAAGTTGAATGGACTGACGCCACCGAATTTGCATTAGGTGGTGATTCTGGATCGTTATATTTTGTTTATAATTTAACAACAAATGCATTTGTTCCTGTGGCTATGCATGTTGGATCAAAACAGAAGAAATCATATGGTATTTTAATATCATACATATTTTAAGAATTAATTAAACGAGAATATCAACTTTTAATCTGTAATTCAACTGAATGCCAAGACAATTAATTTCAATTGATTGATGAAATTGCATTTGAAATTTGCATTTATTCTCTTCAACCATTCGATCATTATGAAGATAACTTTTGATTTCGATTATCGTTTCATTCAAATTGATCGATCATTTTGTTTCTATGTCAAATATTTCTTTTGTCAGATAACAAGAAAAGAAGAAATAAATACCATATAATTTGCGTACATCCGCTCTTTACTTCATGTATACAAAGGACTTTAGGATTTAACTTCGATATATATTCAATGGAAGAATAAAACGCACTTATTATCTTTTATCTACTTATTGATGAATTTCATAAAACATTTCAGATATATAATTGTATTGAAATACATGCCAATATCGATATTTTCAACTGGGATCAAAATATAAATATGTTTGGAAAGTCAAGAGAAATATAGAGGAGTGAATCGATTGACTTAAATTACACTTTGACAATGTCATTTGCTTCTTTTTATTCCAATACATAGGGCTAGGTAGTATAATACGTTCAATTTCGCTTTTAATTTCGAATGGAGAAAAGAAAAACTCAATATAAAACAAACTTTCAAGTTTGCGGTAAATATATTTATCGAGATTTTCTCTTGCATATTATCAGAAACGCTAAAAATCACTCGTGATGGTGATGAGAGGCAGAAGGAGGAGGTGAGGTTGATGTTCAGATCTGGTGAACTTAATCGGGACTTGATTCGGAAAATTTCATCTCGTGACACTAATCGTTTTTTGCAGAAGCATTTGATTTCTGGCCATAAATAATTCACTCGATTTTGCATAACGTCTTTTATTTCAGAAATACGTTGATGTTCGATATTTATAAATGATCCGAGATTTTTCGGTTGATCAATACGGAATGAATGAAAGAATTTTCGATCTTTCCCCGCTTTCAAAAATTCTTGAACATCTGTTCGAAGAGAACTTGTATTGGAATATTTTTCCCAGGACAGTACCGATGCATAGTTTTCTAACGTATGTTCTTTTAACAATGGTTGTAGCATCACTAAGGCGAGATAAACATTGCAATTATAGTTATTCATATGCTTGCGTTTTTTATACTGTTTATTGTGTACGAAGTTGATAATATTTATTAATTCTTTTAATAAATATTAATAATTAATTATTAAATATTAAATATCTTTTATAAAAAGGAAGAAATAAAAGAATAAATAAAGTTATTCATATCTTCTAAATGTGTTAAACATTGTGATAAAAACACACCTAATGGTAATGAATCTTTTTTGTCAATGGGTGATATGATTGTACAAGAATACAATTGTTGAAGAGATTGTAGAAGAAAATTAAGTAAGAAGAATGGTTTCTTTTGTAATATCTTCAATGAAGGAATATTTTGAGCTATTAAATCAAGTTGCTTCTCATCAATAAAACGGATAAATTCTGATTGATAGTGCAAATCTTGATCAATTTCATCATTACTGTTAAAGTGAAGTGTGCTTGTCAAATCCAACTTTCGTAACTTCTTACAAGCAGTAGCACATGCTAGCGAAAATGACGAATTGTTCATCGGACGGATCAGTTTGAGAAAAAAACGCATTCATAATTGATTTAATTTCATTTTCAATAAAACATCTTTGTCTTCATGTTAACATTTCGTATTAACATGCTATCGTTTGTTTTGTTTAAATAGAACCATATACATTTAAATCTCTCAAGTGCTAATGGGAATGCTTTATATTCCTTGTATTTTTGATAATTCGATGGTTGAGAAAGTCCTTGTAAACAGATTAGAGCAATGAAAGTATCGACAATATCAGTTGAAGTATCTGATGGTAAAGACTATTTAAGGCAGTTCGGATAAGAATTGATGACTATCTGAATTTTGGTTGAATGAGCTTCTTGATTATTATTCAAGTATTTCGCAATTGAATCTAAGATTGAAGATTCACGATGTGTAGATTTTGGTGAAAAAGAAATAATAGTATCTCCACACATTGTAATTTCTATATGTACGCCTCCACATATTGCGTTAATAACAGTAAGTATTAAAAGATGAACATTCGATTTACAAGGATTGTGTAACAATATATATAAAGATAATTCTTTGTTAAAAATAACATTAGTTATAATACCGGTTATCATTGCTCTTCATAATATTTGATCAATAACGAACTCGCCTGATTTACTTCTATTATGGAATGACCATAACATTTGATAGACAATAGGTGTGAATTTCTGAACACATTTACGCTCTTTCAATGGTTCCCAACAATTTATCATGAAACATTGACAAAAATTAGAAAAATGTTCATCATCTTTCAAATATAAAGATTGCAGAAGTTATTATAATCATCAAATGACCAATACAAACTAATCCAACTAATAGCCAAAAGGAGTGACTGACGAAAGCGAGGATTAGTTGTGAATGTAATAATACGTTTTGCAATTTCGTCGATAAAAGAACTTCTTAAAAGACCTTGTGCTACAAAATATTCCTGAAGTGATAAATGTATAAAACTAAATACTTTTACCTCGTTCAGCTACAATACCAGCATCTGAATTCAATAAAGATATCAACTCAAAGGCACACAATTCTTTACGATTATTGGATATTCCCTGTTGCTGTAGAACTAAACAACATAAATGTTCCAAATCAAATACATCTATAAGAGCAGATGGTGATTGTAAATGAAGATAATTCGCAAGTTCAATTAAAAAATTAGTTAGAATACTTTCTGAAATGCTTCTTGATTCCTGTCTTCTTCATGAATCCAATCCTGTTTGAACGGTATGATAATATACTCCTATTCGAGATTTTGCTTGAAATTTATTCGATGATTGGAAAAAAGACATACAAATTAAAGATAATAAAGAAGGGTTTGATGTTAATGATTCTAAACTGTTGTCCGACAATGTTTTGACAATATTATCTCGTTTCTTCAATAAAATTGTCACTGTTTCTTGATCAATTTGAATACGTTCATTCAATAAAGCATCGAATATACATTTTCCAACTTGTATTATCCATTCTTTTACAAATTCTTCTGCTTGTTGATGGTTCATCAATAATAAAGAAGAATTTTGGATATGTAAACCAATAAGCGGATAGAATTGATATCCGACAAAACGACTGGTAACAGCTATCTGATTCCCACCAGATTTCTTTGGTGGTTGCATTTCTACAAGTTTTGGTTTGCATCCATAACTCATGCTGGAAAAAGGACAAAAACAAAAAATCCTGGAAAAGCGGACAAATTGCGGGCAACGGACATTTTGCGAAAAAAACTATAGGAAACGGGAATTTGTCCGCAAAATGCAGACCATCTGGCAACTCTGATAATTTCCCTGTTTTTGTCTGTTCACTTTTTCTTTTATTTGTCTATATTGTACAAATTAAAGCATTACTAAATTCATATCGCATTAATCTGTAACGCATTGTAACGCGTTATAGATTAATATATTATGTCACTATAATATCTAACACATTATAACGTTATAAATTTATGGCATTACAATGCATTAACTGCTCAGGCGTTGTAACGCTATACGTGATAGTGGTAATAAATGTACTGTGAGAGTTTATGTCCTAAGTCCCAAGTCAGTAACGTATATGTCTCATATAGTTGAAATAATTTTTCCCAGATCAACTTTTCGAGAGGAATCGATTGGCAGTCTCAGAATTTTACGGAAATATGTCATTTACGAGAAAACCATGTATTTTCGTCTTGAATATTGTCTTACTCGTTGTAACGCATTAATATCTATCGTGTTACACCGAGTTCCATTTTCTTATCTCATTGCAATGAGATAGAAAAGAATAATGCATTGTAATATATTAGATATTAACTCGTTACAATACGATATGCATTATCTAATGAGTCATAACACTATAAAAGATTTTTCCAAATTTATGACATTATAATTAGATAAAACATCTAAGGTATTATAACGTATTATACTGAAGTAGAAAACTCAAACGCGTTATAATACATTAGAATCTAACGTATTATAAGGCAGTAGACAAATCTAATTGCGTTGTAACGAGATAAAAAATTGGAACGCATTATAATGCTATAAATTTATAGAGTTGTAATACAACGAAAATTGTTATCTTAGTACAACACCATAAATTCCTGAAAAATAACTTTGCAACGTGTTATAACACGACGAGCTACGTCTATCGCGTTGTATAACGTTGTATGAGATAAATCTCTAGCGTTGTAATACTATAATTTAAGAAAAAGCATATTTTATGGCTTTATAACGCTATAAATCGGGAAAAAAGATCCTGTGGGTAATACACTGCGAAAAAGTGCCCTTTAGTGAGGTTTAGGGCGCATGGAAGTCCACCGTCAACGCGGAAACAAAAAGCAGGGTACCTTCATGTGCCCTAAACCTCACCTAAAGGCATTTTTTTCTCGCAGTGTAACACAAGTCAAATTATCTTCGGAAAAATGGACGGGTTTATTTGCTTATTCTCCTGTGAAATTCTCTATCAGATGAGGTATTGCTTAAATTCCTTTGTTGAGTCCTTATTTTGCAAATGGTTCTGTAAGCTAGTAGAGTAGACTAAATTAACGTTAATTAGTGCTAATTAGTCAATAACAGGAAGGAAAGAACAAAAAGTTTTACATATTTTCTCATATTAAATATTCTACACATATTTCTCTATCGATCTAAATAAGAACCAAGTTTTTACGATGAATGGAGAGTGGACAAATTCTTTTAATTAATAGTTCGTTGTTCAAAACTTAACAATACTTTTTAAAGTAGTTAATTTTTTCTCTGCCAAATAATGTCAGTAAGCCGAGAAAACTTCAGGACATATACCTCGAAGTATCCTCTACAAACTGGGAACGTTAGGAGAAAATATAAATGGGATCCCTCCTTAAGCATAACTTAGAAAATCAAAGAAAAACAAGAACATACATGAGATGTACATGTACATTCTCGTTTTTCTTCTTCTAGTCTTTTCTTCTTGAACATCTAGTCTACATAGACTAGCAGTTAAACATTTTGACTTTTTTGTTCACTCTTAACACAAAAAACAAAGAAAGTAATAACAATGTTGTGATATTTTTAAAACAGCGTATTTGGCTTATCGTATATTATCACATAGCTAACACCGATCGTGTTTTGAAACGAACAGTTATTATTTGAAGGATGATCATAGTGGACAGATTTAAGAAACTGAAGTACTGGGAAATATAGATACACATCGTTACTATTCTGGACTTTTCTTCAGAACTCTTTATCCCAAAGTGGTTAAATCCTCTTCTGGTATTTCAGAATCATCTCCCAGAAATACATGAAAATTGACTGTGCCCGTATCTGTTCTAAACTAAAAATGTATTACATAAAATTTGATAAATCCTGCAATAGCATTCTATAAAATTGACCGGAGTACGCTGGCTGTTATTAATATCTGGAGAAACCAAAGAATTTGTTAAACTATTTTAGTATTTTGTAAGTAAAACTGTAATCTACAATCTGTTTTCTTTTTCCTCTTTTTTTCTCAAAAACGCTAGGAAAATCAGCAAGGTGAAAGTATCATTTGAAAAGCGTTTTGCGGTTTGGAAACAATTTCCTTTCAGCCCAGTTTTGAGAGCTGGCATCCCATTAGGGGCAATACCCTTTCCTCCTCCATACTGTAACCAACAGAACTCGAACAGCATTGAAAACAAGTTTAAAAATCCGTTCTAGACGTCGAAGATAGATAATTTTTGGCTTTACGAAATTTAGTACGTCGTATACTCACACTGCAGTCTTTCTCTAAATTTCTCTTGTTGTTTTTCAAACTTGGTACCACCTAAAAAGGGTAGTTTTTCTTATGCATTAAATTTTCTTCCCAGTCTAGACAATGCGATATATGAACAAACATGCAGAGGTACGAGAAAGGCTGTATCCACCTGAGTACTAAGTTTAATGTGACATGCTCTCTTCTATGGAATGAATACCCGACGTATGATTAAGTTGTCACAGTGAAATTGACAGTGTAAATTTCGAATTATGTTTCCA